TAATATGAGCATTTAGTGACCAGGAATGCTAAATGTCCTATAATGGACACGAAAATTCCATATAATCAGTAACTGATTTATCAAATGAACCATGCTATGAAAATGCTAACAGCACCTCCCTTGAGAAACACTGAGCCCCCTCTTTCAGAGAAGACAAAAGCAGGAAAGAAAGGCAAACTGAAGGGAGGAGGGTGGTAAGAAAACAAGCAATGCACCCCACCAGAGATGGAGCCACCGAGTACAGGCTGCCCAAGGGTCAGCCTCAGACCCATGCACCCCTGGCCCTTCACCCACCGCAATAACACTCATGGTATACACACTCCTTATTTTCCTTCCCTCTACTGTGCACAACAATCTTGGGCTCAGTTAGACTTAAATTATATCTTTTAAAAATTGTCTTTATTTCCACATCTTTTCATCTGTTCTAATTATGATAGTTTCTGAGCAACTAATATTGGTAATAATAGATAATATCAACTGAAAATTATTCCCTGTTGCTCAAGGGCTTAATTACTAGATTTGTACTGTTATGTGTCTGTTGGAAAATTTTTTTGAGAGACTAATTCCTTAGGGGATAATTCCTCAGAGGTTGCTCTCCTGAATTATTACCCTCTTATGAAACACTTTTTTGAGCCATGCTGGGACTTGGAAGAAGGGGAAGTGAAAATTCTCTTGCCACCTCTCCCAGGCTTTTTGTTAAGCTCCTGGCAGTATCGAGAGAGATGCTGCACACACAAGCTTCACCACCAAGGGTCAGGGCATGGAGAGACCAAATGGGAAGAAACAGCTCAGCAGCCTTGGTTTAATTTTAGAGGCGCTCCACTAGATGATGTCAGAGAGACAGGCTCATGGCACGTTCAGTAGCGAACAGATGCTGCAGCAAGGTAAAAGGTTCAGCAAAACACAGCCCAAACGACTCCTCAGGATAAAGCAGTCCAGAATGCAATTCTGGTTAAAATGAGTTGAGGGCTTGTTATTACAAGAGCATACTATCACCGCAAATGCGGGTTTCCATGAAATAAGGTCCTTGCAGACTAAAGCAATGGTGTCCAACAGATCTTCCTCTGGTTATGGACATGCTCTGCATCTGTGCGCTCTCCCGTGGTACCACTAACCATGTGGGGCTACGGAGCACTTGAAATGTTGTTAGCACAAATAAAAAATTGAATATCTAATTTTATTTAAGTTTAATTAATTTAAATAAGAAGAAACCCATGTGGCTAGTGGCTCCTGTCTTGAACAATGCAGGGAAAGGCTTAGGCCAGACTTTGGGAAAATGACCTAAGAGGCTGGCACAAGAAAAATCTTACGTATCTTCTGCCCACCTGGAAAAATACTTCTCAGTACCCTTCCCACCACAGACACAATTCATTAAGACGTCACTACATCAGAAACCAGGAGAGCAGTGCTTCTCAACTTTCTGCATCCATCAGGATAACTTGGAGGCCTTGTTAAACACAGATCATTAGATTCACTCCCAGAGATTCTGATTCAGTAGGTCTAAACATTTCAAACAAGTGCCCAGGTGATTCTGATGCTAATGGTCCAGGGCCAAACTTTGATTAGCACTAGAATAAAAACATTGACACTCAAACATCAGTCTGCCTCTAACAAACTGGAGCTTCTTTCACTTGTCACCTTTCCACTACACTAAAGTCCCTCTTTCTTCAAGGTACACAGAACCCTCAAATATTCATAAAAGGTTTGCTTAAAACCTGTGACTGTCAATGTATGACAGAATGTAAATAAACAAGACTGTCTAAGATGGCTTCTCCCCATATTAAATCCATGATAGAGCACATTTGTTACAAATTTCTTGAGCGTATCTAATAATTACAGGGACCAGGGACTCAGCAAACTCAAATCTGCCAGGACAGTTTACCTCTAATCCTTGCACTGGTCTTATCTGAGAGCCAAATGGAGGCTTTTTATTAAAATAACATAATATTGTACTTCAGGATTAGGTTGGGGTTGTGACCTCTTTCACCATTCCAACACAGAGTTACGTCATAGTATCAAAAGAGCACATGTCATTTTAAAACATTTTATTTATCATTCAAAGGGAGTATGTTGAAAATACTCCTTTCCATATTACCAAAAAAGAGAAGAAACAAATGTAAAAGTTCTAGAATAAAAACAGATTTCTCCAAACATTCACTGGTCTTTGTTTTATTACCTACAAAATCTATTCTAGGATCAGTAATCATTTGTGAGAATGTTTTTCTTTGCCAGGTTCCTTCTTTCTGTCCTTTGGTCTAATTGTACATGAGTCCCTTTAACACTAAAAGACCACCCTGTCAAAAGTAATTTCTTTAACTGCTCTTCTGAATAGCCTTCTTTCTGCCCCCTCCACTCTCCCATTTGTCTTTTTTTTTTTAAATGAATTTATTGGAGTGACATTAATAAAATTATATAGGTTTCAGGGGTACAATTCTATAACATCTCATCTGTATATTGTATTGTGTGTTTACCACCCCTGGTCAAGTCTCCTTCAATCACATTTATTCCTCCATTACCTCCACCTCCCCCCACCCCCTCTTCCCTCTGGTAATCACCATACTGTTGTCTATGACGTGTTTTGCTTTGTTTCATCCCTTCACCTTTCTCACCCAGCTCCCTACCCCCTTCCCAATTTTCCAAAAGAAAGCCTTCAACCAGAATATATTGTTGCAATAAACTAGACCATGAAGCCTTCAGGTAAAACCAGAATCCAGAACTGTCCCTCATTTCCCACACCACCAGCCGCCTGCCCCTCTTCAAATGCCACTGCTCCTCAATTACTGCCTTCACAAGGATCAAGAGCGATCATTGGGTCCTGGAAATTTGAGGAGCCAGGTATTGCTTCTGAGCACTTATAGCGCTCCCAAGTAGTCACACAATAATCTATGTACATCACTTCATTAGGCTACTGAGTTATTAATTCTGTGTCTATTTTACAGGTAGGGAAGCTATAGCAAAACGAGGCTAAATGATTAAAATATAATCCCAGGGAAACTCAAAGCAAGTTTAAATCACTGTGTTCCTCCAGTAGTGGTTCTCAACCAGGGACAGTTTTTCCCCTCAAGGGACATTTAGCAATGTCTGAGGACATTTGTGATTGTCACGATTGGGGGGTGGGGGGATACTACCGGCATCTAGTAGGTAGAGGCTACGGATGATGCTAAACATGCTACAATACACAGGACGCCCCCCCCCCCCGCCCCCCCGCAACAAACTGCCTGGCTCAGAATGTCAATGGTGCTGAGAATGGGAACCCCTGGTCCTACGGCACTTCTTACATTATTTTCTTTGGCCCTCTAATCAATAGTTAATGAATGGCTCTCTCTGCAATTTGATCCTTGTATAGTATTTACACAAGAACATGCCAGTTGAGTGCTATTTTGGCATGTTATACTTTTTAATCACTTTTAAAATGGAAGATACAATTGGATCTCTGTATCCATGGGTTTCGTAACTATGGGTTTCACATCCTCAAATTCAATCAACCATGGATTGAAAAGATTTGAGGAAAAACATCCCACAAAGTTCCAAAAAGCAAAACTTGAATTTTTCATGCACTGAGTACTACACTGATTCCACATGAATAAAGTGCTAGGCATACCTTGCGGTAGCCTATAGGCAAATACAGATCATACGCAAATACTATACTACCTGGAACAATCCCCTGCAGGCACTGAGGAACGACTGCATATGGGAGCCACAGAAGAAATGAGGAAAGGTAGCAAAGTCCAGCTCCCTTCCTTTCAGGAGAAAATCTAGAAAAGACTAGGTCCTTTCATTAGCAACCTCCAGGCCCTGAGCTATGGTCTGTGTTGTACTGCTCATCTAGATTCTTCAGTCATCGACAGGCTTTGCAGCTGCCTTTTCTCTGCTTTGCTTATCTCTAAGCAGGTGCATCCCTCCAGAGTACCAATGATGTATGTTTATGGGGATCTCCAGAGAGCTACAGCCCCTAATTGTCTATTTTGTTCAGTAAATTGTACTCATTAGTGAGCCACGTGAAGCACCAAGGGAGGACAGCCTTTCTGGGTGCCCTCTGTCTGAGCCTGGGTAATGGGACATTATCTGACAAGGGCTCCACAGTGTTGAACTAAGCTGCTTAAACAAGCCTCCAACCAGTTTTTCAGCTGAGTCCTTTTTTTAACCCCTGTCCCTCCTTCCCAGCCACTCTTATCTCTGCTTAGATGTATATTAATTATACTTTTCTCTTTAAGGAGCCTGGTTTTAGTTTACGCATCAGAAGCTGAAGAGCTCAGAAAAGATGTAATGTCCTTTCCACCTCTTCTTTCTGGATCTCCACATAGACACTGAGGAGGGCATACCAAACAGTAAATTTCTCCTTTTGCTCTCAAAAATCTTCCGCATAAAAGAAAATCCAAAGCCAGCTTTGGCTATGATGCTCCCAATACCCACCATCCATTGCCAGAGGGACTGCAAACAGAAGAGGAATGAATGGACATGTGACTTCCACTGACACTGGATAAAATAAAATGGAATGGACAGAACCACATGCTTTGCTAGTGCCATTATCTATCAAACTTGGAATCATCGACTCTCTGGTAAGCTGTTTCCCTCCTGGAAAAAAGTCATTGATGAAGGATATCAAGCAAAGGGATCCACAGAGGAGGAGGATGTTGAAAGAGGGAATACGAGCCAGCTGATAACAACATGATATGGCTACCAGGAAAAAACAGGCCTAGTTCCCTTCTCTGGAAGGGCCCAACAACCACCTCCTCACACATGTAAATCGTATTCCATAAAAACTCACTAAAAATTCTTGTGATATTTCTATGCACGGATTCAATCCCATCATTCTGATCATGGTTTTATCTTGATAATTGTTGATTTTTCACTGTATCTATGAATTGAATCAATAAACATTTTAAGAACCTTCTATAGACAGGGCACCCCACTGCACTGACTCCAAGAAACTGTTGAGACAAGAGCCTCTATGACTTAGTAAAACCAGAGAAACAACAGCAGAGAGGCCTGTGACTTACCCTGGAGTAGAGGGTGTGAGAACCTTCAAACACACTTACATCCTCATGACCCATCAGCTCTGCTGCTTCTCACCACTCACTTCTGCATGTTGGACAACGACCGACTGATCACCAGCTGCCAAAGATGAAAAATGAATGGATGCATTAGACCAAAAGATCGGTAACTTCAAGTCTCAAACCACAGCTCAAGTGAATTTGTTAAAGTAGGCTAAGTGCTTAACATAGACTCAAACACATGTAATGGCTCAAACTCAGTAAAACTTTATTTCTGGTTCCTGTATACATACATACTGGACAGGTGAACAGGTGAATCAATGGAGTGGCCTGCCCTAACCAGCAGCCTAGGCACCCAGGCTGAAAAAAATCCTGCCATCTTTAAAATACAATATCCAAGCTTGCCCCAGGGGATCTCTCCCTTCCGGCCTGCTAGGAGTGTAAAGCAGCATGGAAGAACTAACATGGCGCTCTCTTTCTGTGATTTTTCCCAAAAGTAAATCACAACACTTCTGCACATCTACTTACATATTGTTGGCTAGAACTCAGACACATGGCCACTAAGCCCATGGGCTGCCAGGCAGCTAGCGGTTAGTCTCTATCATACAGGCTTAACTCCAGCCAACCCCAAGAAGCAACACTAGGTTTAAAGTACAGATTTCTGGGTGAGACACTAGCATAGTAACCCTGATGAGTTGCTTAACAACTGAGTCTTTGTTTCCTGATTTTCTTATATGAAAAATACCCTGCTCCTCTCATTGACCCAGGAGGTCAATGTGAGACTCAAAAATTTTTGAGACATAGCATTCTTCATACTGTAACATGCATGCACAGCACCCAGGCATCTTGCTAGAATGCAGATTCCAATTCAGTAGGTGCTGGGAGGGGCCTGACATTCTGCATTTCTTACAAGTTCCCAGATGATATCAATGCTGTTCTCTGATCACACTTTGAGTAGCATAGAGATGAAGAATTAGAGAATACTTTTGTAAACTACAAAGTGATTTGCAGATATAAAGACTTATCATACTGGCACTGACTATGATTATAAGTGGATTCCCAACTTGCCAGCATTTTTAGGACATGTTTAGTCTACGGAGGAAAATTTCACAGAGTCACAGGGCTTAGAACCTGAATTTCAGTGGTCACTGCTCTCTCCTTATATATTCCAGACAAGGGAGCAAATTAGTGATGCCTCCCAAATCTCACAATAACTCAGTGTTCTGGGACCAGAATTCATAAATTTGACTTTTTTCTGCAACAAACTCAACTGACAACAACCTTCTAAAGATGAAAGGGTAATTTTTTATTCTTCTTCTAAATCAAGAACAACTACTACTCTGCCCCATACCCAAAAAGGTACCAGAAGGTGACATTCACCAGCATGGGTCAACACGGTACCAAATGTCAGCAAGGTGTTACAGGACAGACATCAAGAGATTTTCAAAGCAGATGATCTTCAAAATGTAGTGATCTCCAAAGTTATGCCTCACTTGTCCAAAAAGTGACTTGAACACAAATTAACTTCTGTATACCTTCTGGAAAAAACAAGGGTTTTTATTTTCAGTATATACAATCTCTGAGTCACTCCTATTTGGGAACAATTTGAAAAAGAAAGAACCTGGGGTTCAAACAGAAAGAAAAATAAGAGAAGTAGCCAAGGAGGAGCAGTGGTTTCTGTGGTAAACTCTTGGGATAAATAAAGGAGCCTCGAGATTTTTTTTATCCCTGGCATGTACATTATTTTGCATCTCTGAGATCATGATGAGTCCTAAAAAGTAAAATGTTAGGGCCACAGAAGGAAAATATAGGAGTCAAAAACTCTAAGTCATAAGTCAGAAAGTCATTGATTTATCTGGAAATCAAAGCAAACAGGTGAAGAAGGGAGGCTCTAAATATGCATGCCATCTCTAATAAAGCATTTTGGAAGTTTGGAAGTGTTTTTTGTGAAATTAGGAGGAAGGACTTATTGAGCAAAGAATGACAAATGGAAATCAATACTTTCATATCCATGATCAATTTAAGATGGGTAAAATGATATTAGCATCTTCATTTAGTGAATAATTTTAAACATTTTAATAAAGGTAAAATGTTCTAAGAACATCTACAAGTTTACTTCTGTACTCCATCCCCAAACCCTCTTCCACCATAATTTCTTCAGCTCCTCAAAAATTTTACCATCCTGGCAGTTTTCCAGAACCTACTGGAGAATTTTTACCTCATTTTTGCACCATGGATCCCTCTGGAAACCTGTTGAAGCCTAAGGACCTTCTCAGAATAACGTGTTAAAATGTATAGAGAAAAATATATATGATTACAAAAGAAGCCAATTATATAGTAATACTCTTCTATCCACACAGCCCTCAAGGGTCCATGGACCCAACTGAAGAACATCTGATTAGGGAATGACTCTTCCAGGATGGTGGAAGTTTTTTCTTACAGGAATTGAAGAAAAGTTTTAAAAACAAACAAAGATGCATAGTAAAGAATCCTGCTCAGGATCAGTCAGTGAAGAAAAGAGAGAGAGCTGCACAGAGAAGCCTGACCTTGAATTTCTGCCCAAACTCAACACTGTTTGTGCTGTGGCTTTAAAATCCTACATTAAGGAATTACTCAGGATTTTCTTGGCTCCAGCCCAGCACACACAGTATATTCTGTGTACTGATGGCAGATGAAGAAAGGCAACGCTGGAGAGGGAAGGCTGAGATATGTCTGAGTTTGGTCCTCATCTCTAACCACGTTTCTGCCATTAACTACTCTATTCTCTTGGTCAAGTCACTTAGCTCTAAGTTGCGGGTCCCAGTGTATACAATGAGAAGGGTGAGTTAAACCATCTCTAGGATTTCTTCCAACTCTGGATTATTAGGATTCTACAAAGACAACGCAAAGTCATTTCTCTGAGAAGAAATTAGTGAGATGACTTTTTGTCCTAAGCTCACGGTATGAAAATACATTTTAGATGAGAATTTTTCAGAGACTTCAGAAATACCTTATGAGAATCACCTAGCTATAGAATTTTAGACTTGGAAGAAATTTTAAGAGACATGTGCCAATCCCAGTGACCAGATAAGAACACAGACTCAGAGAGGCAAGAAGATTGGCTTGAGGTCACATAATGAGGCATAATGTTAATAGGCTGTTGTGACTACTGCCATCTAGCACTCGCAGCATTGTAGTTTTAGGCATCGGAAGTAGAAACCCACTCACCGGTTCCCCTGAAGGGAGACGGACATAAACCTCAAATAAGCTGAACGATGGGAGGAGAACTGCACAGGGAAGCAGGTGACTGGGGTGATGACGCCCAGCAGCAATGCCCTCTCTCTCAGACAGGGTCGAAGGTGAGGCTCTCGCATACAATGTAACCTCCCCAGCAACAGCTCCCTCAAATGTCATGGCTACAAAATCCATTTCAAAGAACAATCAGTAACAAAAAATAAAGAATAATTTTTTTCAAAAGAGGGGAATGGATGAATGGACTCAGGCTAATAAAGTCAAAAAAACCAAAGTTCAAGATTTGGATTGTTAATATAATCTTGAAAGGACAACATTTCCTAAGAAAATCTAAAACTGAAAAATTCCTAACATGTATTCTAGGAAGCAACTGATTCAGAATAACTTTAAGCTCTCTTCTAGGGACAGCCATGAAGTACACAGTAACTGCGTATACCAGCATAATTTTTACGAATACCTTCACCATTATCTTCAGAGCACCTAATTATCATATATTGTTCAGGTGGAAAAGTCACATGTGTGTATTTTCAGTCCACATGTATAGATTAGTTTTACATACAAAGAATTAGTAACAATGAAATTGTTGGGAATTTTGATCTAATCATGATTTCAGCCTCATTCAATTAACCCAACAACACATCTGCCACATGCCTTCAAAACCTGTGCTATGAGGCTTGTTACTTTACCTGCTGCCTTATCCTCTGGGAACACATATACAACCAGCAAAGTAACCACACCCATTCCTCAGTTCCCTACAACACACACTATTCCTACCTCATATAAACAGTCTGGCTTTCATAACTTTTTTAAAAAGATTCTCTTTGACTAAGAGCTGACACAGCCTTTCAAAATCTTCTAGACTAGAGGCTACACAAGGCTAGTTAGCCAGCTCCCTAGTTCATCTCCTCCAGGAATTCCCAGAGGCAGCAGTGCCATCTACTGGTAGGGAGGGCACAACTTGTTTTCTGGAAGCCGGTGGGTAACAGGAGCCAAGGACCCGAAAGAACTGCAGGCTACATTTGTGTCTTTGTGAGCCTTTCTTTTCTAGAGCACATTGCAAGCATAACTGATGCTTACAACCTGTGCCACAGCACTGCCACAGGGGACTCGTTCGTGAAAGGCAGGGCTTCTGGAAGCCATCGAAAGCCCAGCCAGGCTAGCCAAAAATGAGGCAGCGCAGCCTGGAAATGCCTCCTCAGGGCTCCGAAGGCAGGCAGCAGAGCCTCACGGAATTGAACACTTCTGGCTCTCCTTCCACTTCCCCCCTCACCCCTCCACCCCACCGCGTGCTTCTCTATCAGATGATCTCACCCATGCCCCCACCTGTAGCAGTGTATTCAGCTCTATTTTTCAGCATGTGTCCCAGGGAAGGTGCTCAGCCTCTTCTCAATGTGAAGGCTCTTACCGTCACACAATGTGACACAGAGCCTGCTCAAAGGACACTACTGCTTAGGCATGCATGTCGGGCTCTAATCTCTCTCATCCACTCTCCCTCCTCCCCATCCCTGACCCGAGGGACAGAAACGACCAAAGGAAATGATTTTGTCGTTGCTCTGAAAGCAACACTATTGGGGCTTTATTGAATCAGAGAATAAAACCTTGTCCTGGAGGTCACTGAGGTACGCCGCTTCCTCCAAAATGAACTAAGCCTGCCAATCTTCCTGTTTTCCCTTGTGTAACCTAGTGTTTCTCAGCCTTTTCAAAACCCCTGCCTCCCTTCCACGAGCTAAACATAAACACTGCATGCCCTTCATGTAGATTATATTAACAAAAGTGACATCTGAAAAAAACATGAAAGCATACCTTTCAAACTACATCACCTACCCCACGTTCAGAATTCCTTCCTCTCCCTGACCACATACC